TGAGTTCACAGTCACAGAGTTGAAAACAAGACCAGACTCTCACGTTTGAGCCTACCACATTTGCTGTCAGCTGGTGAGTCCCTGCTGGGTCCCCAGTAGAAGGGGACATCTCGGGAAACAGCTTATTCTTGGGATCATCTGTATGTGCGAGGACACATAGGCAGGCTATTCCTCCACTTGTATTGGTCTGTCGGTCAGCAGGTATTTATCAGATGGGGGACACTGAGCTAGGGTCTTTGCACCTGAGGAAAAGAGGGTGTTAAATTTTCCTGTGGGCTTGGGGCCACTGAAATGGAAACCAGATGTCTTCAATGTCTCTGCAACTTGTCATTTCCCACTGGAACTCAGGAGATCCTCCGTGTCTATCATCCATTCTGAGGACGACTTCAAGTAATCGATAGTCACAATTGCAGTCTTTCATGGGGGTGACTGGGCTTGCTGACCAGCTTTCTGATGAAATCAGATACATCCACTCAAATTCTTTCTAAAGATCACAAACCTCCTCTGTGGCCCAGCGACTCTGGGGCTTCTTTCCTGTGATGCCCAGTGGGACCTGCAGGGACTGGACCACCCGGAAGGAGGTACCTGGCTAGACTCCTTAAACACCCACTCCCAGCCAGAGTCTCTGCCTTTCTTCAAGAGTCAGGTTATGTATGACTCTCATTGTATTGTATGCATGGCTTGGCTTTTTGAACAACAAATGTAGCTTGTTTCTGTTTTTTTAAATCTGTCATGCAAAACAAATTTATTTTTAGCACAGGATAAATCACTGTGTGGTCTCAGGGCCAGTGTTTCACTTTCTGTATTAGGTTTTTAACCTCAGCTCACTTGGGTAGGGGCAGGATCAGTACTAGCGCTGGAGTAATATCTTGTCTGGTTTATTTGATTTCTCTCCAGGTGACCCAGTAACAGTGGCAGAGTGTCAGGCCATGGAGGTGGTGTTACCTTTCAGCCTTGACTCTTGGAAGGGTGCTATCTGCGGGTTAGTTTACGGGGCAGCAGCACGGATGCCTGGGGCTGGAGAGCCGACTTGGGGGCCACGAAGACCATGTCAAAGGCTTTGTCTTCTTTGGGGCTCCTCCTGTCCCGTTAGGGCCTCTACCACAGGCCCCACTGCAAGGGCCCTCAGAGGCACCTTCCCACCTGATGTCCCTGCTGCCTTGCGCTGTAGGCTCCAAGAGGGTCCCCAGGGGCCACAGCCTCTTGAGTGCAATAGAAGAAGTGGGTATAACTGCATATAAATCACTTCCACATTTGAAGGGAGAGTTGTCTAATCTCAGGTTATTAACAAGGTACAACTTCGTTCATCCCTGATTCCATTAGCTGCACTTCTTGTTAGGGTTTCCTCTCCTTGACATCATCAGCTGTAGTCTCTGTGTGGGTCTGTAATGCTGACATGGGCGGAAGCAGAGGTGGAGCACTTACCTGGTTGCTTTCGAGCAGACAGGTCACTGGGTCCCCATTTCATGCCTTTGGTTCCTGGGGCTCCAGTTTTTCCTGGAGCCAGAGGGTTCTGCCAGGTCCTCACTGGCAGGGTGGTATGAGATTTGAGGATCTAGAGTTGGATCCTTTCAATGCCCATTCACAGTGTTTGTAAAGTCTCTACTTCTGCTCCCATTTTTCTTTGCCAGTGTCAGGTTTTGCAGTTAAACAATTAGTAAACTGTAAAAAAAAAACAAAAAAAACTATTTACAATAAACTCCAAAGTGAAATATACCAGTATCCCTAGGGCTAAGAGCTAAATAGATAACATCTAATTTGAATGGCCTTTTTTTCTGCTCGACTCACTCTCCTAATGTGCGTGTGTATGTTTCATTAATTGAATCAACCTTTGGCTTAGGACAGGGGCAACAAAAGGCCTCTTTTCGGTCTCCTAAAGTCTAGACTTTGAGTTCCTCAAGGACGTAGACAGTCCCTGATCACCCATTCATTCATCCAATTCCCCTTGCATGTAGTGAGAACACCCTTGTACCAGGCTCTGTGCTGTCCTGAGGATGACAGCCCGGCCGCCACAGAACTCTGTCGACTTTGCAAGACAGGTGTTAAACAATTACATAAATTGTTTTTTAGAATTATTTTCAAAACTGACAAAATAAGCACAGGGCACTGTTCCAGGGTCATCTGTCCTTGATGGTGGTACAGGGGATGGAGGATTGAAGGTTGTGGAAAAGTGGTGTGTTTCAAATGCACGGCACACCAACGTCTCCCAGTGAAGGAGAAGCGCATTCTTCTGAGGACAGCAAACCCCCTGCGAGTGCTGGGCTGTTGGAGGGCGTGGGGCAGAAGGAGGCAGGGCCAGATCCATTTTGCCTGTTTGTGTGAAAACAGTCTGAAACTGGTCATTAGAACTTTAGCCCAAAGAAAGCATGAAGTCACTAAAGCAAGGAAGTGCCCCAATCAGATGTTTCCTTCTTTTAAAACATTCTGTCACATCCTACAGTATGGGAGAATATATTCATAAATGACTGATCTGATAAAGGATTGACATCCAAAATATATAAAGAGCTCATGCACCTCAACAAACATAAAGCAAATAATCCAATTAAAAAATGGGCAGAGGATCTGAACAGACACTTCTCCAAAGAAGAAATTCAGATGGCCAACAGTCACATGAAAAGATTCTCCACATCACTAATCATCAGAGAAATGCAAATTGAAACCACAATGAGATATCACTTCACACCAGTGAGGATGGCTACCATCCAAAAGACAAACAACAACAAATGTTGGTGAGGATGTGGAGAAAGGGGAACCCTCCTACACTGCTGGTGGGAATGTAAATTAGTTCAACCATTGTGGAAAGCAGTATGTAGGTTCCTCAAAAAACTCAAAATAGAAATACCATTTGACCCAGGAATTCCACTCCTAGAAATTTACCCTAAGAATGCAGGAGCCCAGTTTGAAAAACACATATGCACCCATATGTTTGTCACAGCACTATTTGCAATAGCCAAGAAATAGAAGCAACCTAAATATCCATCAGTAGATGAATGGATAAAAAAGATGTGGTACATATACACAATGGAATATTATTCAGCCATAAGAAGAAAACAAATCTTACCATTTGCAACAACATGGATGGAGCTAGAGGATATTATGCTCAGTAAAATAATCCAGGCAGAAAAAGACAAGAATCAAATGACTTCACTCATCTGTGGAGTATAAGAACAAAGAAAAAAACTGAAGGAACAAAACAGCAGCAGACTCACAGAACCCAAGAATGGACTAACAGTTACCAAAGGGAAGGGGGCTGGGGAGGATGGGTGGGAAGTGAGGGATAAGGGGGTAAAAGGGGCATTATGGTTAGTACACATAATGTAGGGGGGGTGCTCGGGGAGGGCTGTGCAACACAGAGAAGACAAGTAGTGACTCTATAGCATCTTACTATGCTGATGGACAGTGACTGTAATGGGGTATGTGGTGTGGACTGGATGATGGGGGGAGTCTAGTAACCATAATGTTGCTCATGTAATTGTAGATTAATGATACCAAAAGCAAAAATACATGCTGTCTTTTGTAGAGAATGGGTTTGGGGCTTGGGTGAGTGGGGAGACCAGTCAGGGTCAGTTGAGATTGAGCAGGAGAGGGAGACTTGGGTCATGATAGAGGTTTAATGGTGAGAAGCAGATGGATTCTAGAACTATTAAAAGTTCCTGACTGGGAAACCTGCTCGTGAGAACCATTACCATGCTCAGGCTTTTGGGCAGAGGATCAAGAGTGAGGATGAAGACCCTGGTTCCTTTTGCACCATGTTTGGGGCTGTGAGAAGCCCCAGAGGATGCCAGCTTTGGACTTCAGATGAGAGTTCTGAGCTGTCACAGAAATTGGGGAATTGTCAATGTTTAGTTAGTAGTTGAGGCCATGGGTGGGAATACGGGCCCCTAGTGTGAATATAGGAAGGTCTGGGGACCTCCGGCATGGAAAAGGTAAGGGACGAAGATCCTGCAAATGAACTGAGCTGGGTCAGCCTGAGGAGCAGGCGGGAAGCACAGGGAAGGGCCTTGGGTGAAGGGGGTGCAGTTTCCTCACCATTGAGAAGCGAGGTAGCTGCCAGCATGGGTGGGGCCAGACCAGGATCTGAGTATGGGGATGTTGAATTCTGTCTCTCCTATTCACATCTGCCTGGACTAGAAGTGAGAACACAGGCTATGCACCCAGAATGCAAGCTTGCAACTATTTCTTACACAAACCCATTTGTCAGCAAAGCTTCAGATTTCACGGAGGTTTTGGATAGCGGATATCATATACCGCTTTCTTCTGGAATAAGACCATATTGATTGCTTTCATAGCAACTTTAAATTCAGAGGAAGATGTGTCTATAAAATCAGAATAAAGGCCTCTGAGCTGAAGTTGGGCAGGGATATACCATCAGCCATTTCCCTATCCCTGGCATCTCTCTGCACAAGTCCAGTTTTTGACATGGTTTCTCCATACTAATGTGCCGATGCTGTGACCAGTGACTACCATTTGGGGTGTTATTCTGCTGGCCATGTAAGGGACAGCTCTTCCTCCTGGGTCTCTCACCTGTGAGACTGGGTAACTCATCTGTGAGATGAGTTAGCGACATTTCCAGCAGTTTAACTCCAGATCCGGTTCCTCCGTGGCTGGGGTTGCTGATGAGTGGAGTGTATCTGAGGAAGCTTATAGGTTATTTCCTCAGAGGCTGGGGTAACAGAGCCTCACCCCTGCAGGCACCACACCAAATCTGGATTTCCTGAGAAGCGAAAAAAAATTTTTTTAGGTCCATGATTTTTACTCCTTGAAGTGAAATTTTAAAATCTAAATCAAATTATTCATGGCATAAAATAATGTTGCTTGCTGCATTTTTCCCATTTAATCAAAATCAGTATGATCCTCATGTAATTTGGCCTTTTATATGTTGGTTGCCCAAGCCAGGTATCTTGGTGGAGGTGGGGGTACGACACTCCTCTTGCGGGTAATGTCGCTGATTCCATTTGTTTGGGATACACGCTGAGTTGACCTCATTGGACTTTCCCCAGGAACCGATGCGCGTGCACGTGCTGGGCCATTATGCTGCTGCACCTGTGCAGTGTGAAGGTCAGTGCGCTTTTCTGATTATAAGAACCCGTCCATGTCATTCCATCATAAACCCACTCCACTCATAATGGAATGTGCCCGGCCCAGAGCCCTCTGTGGCTGCCCAGAACTTCTCCCCAGTGCAGCCCTGACATCTGAGACCCATCACCCGCCCTTCTCCCACCGCCTGCATCCACCTTATTCAAATGTGCTCCGTGTTGAGATGGTGTTCTTTGCATGTCAACTTGCTCTTGTGTGATGTGAATGTACCGTTGTCACAAGTGAATTTGTGCCTTGAAACAAATGGTCCTTTCAGAATCACAGCCAAGAGCTCCACTGGGCTCTTGCCTTACCTTAGGGTTGGTACAGACCCAAGGGAATTCCCTGGAACCCAGAGCAACCATTTCTCCTGCTGACCAGAGTTGCCAGTTCATTAGGGGGTTGCCTGTACATGGGCACTCTCCTGGGAAGGGCTTTCCCCCTGCAACCCTCAGGACTCCCTCCGAGTCACCCCTTTCCTGTATTTCCCAGCTTTGTCACTCTTGGTGATGGCCCTGGTTTATAGTAGTTACAACTCACATTAACTGGACGCTATGCATCCTGATTTTGTGAGTCCTCTCCACTCGCAGAGATCTGAAGAGGTAGGTATGACCACTTCCCACCTTATGTTTGAAGGAGCTGGGCATAGAGTGCTAAGACACTGCCCAGAGGCTCCCAGTGGGGAGGTGAGGCCTGCCTGTCTGGGGGGAAGACCTGTCCATGAGTCCATAGGCCCTACTGCAGCTCTGGGAATATGCACTCAGGTAATCTTTCAAGGAGGTTTTCTTTAAAATAAAGAAAGAAAGAAAATCTGGCATCTGTATAGCACTGTGCAAATGTACTAAGCATATCCACATGTGGGTTCAGCTTATCCCAGAAATAGCAGTGAGAATGAGAAGAACGAGCAGAACAAGGCCTGAGGTGCTAGGTGAGGGCCTCCAGGTGCATCATCTTGCAGGAGGGTGAGCAGCCCTCAAATTCAAGCCTTCTCGTCCACCTCAGGACATTGCTTCCAGATCACCTAGAGGGGTACTTTCTTAATTAGTAAGTCTAGGGTAGCACTTAGAGAATGACCATTTTATGTGTTGTATTCAGGAAGCATTAAATTAGTGGTTAATGTGTGCTGCCAACTGTCCAGGGACAATCTCAGGGCAGTAACTTCAAATGCCTTTGTCGTCTTAGACATCCCAGTTTGCTGTGCTGTCGGCAGAGGCTGCATTTCTCTAAGGCCACTCAGCTGCTCCACCCACTAGTTTTCCCCATTTGGGGAGGGCTTGGCTTTTGCTAAGAGATGCTCTCATCTGCCTACCTTCCCCTGGGACTTCCGAATTTCCTCTAGCTGTAAAGATACAGTGAGAAGTCTTTTTAAAATACCATGTAGTTCCTTTTGGGTGCGTTTAACATTCCGAGAGAATGCTCCCGCCTTTTCCTGTTTCCAGGACTGATGTCCTTGGAAAGTTAGGACTTCTCAGTCCTAGAGATTCTCAGCTCGTGTGTGTCTTCAGATACAGGCTTTGCCTTGAAATAAAACTCCTTGAATCTAATAGCAAAGCTACATGATTCTAACAGGAGATTTTTTTTCTCAGGAGATTTTTTTCAGTGATCTAGGAAACACAATGGCTGAATAGTCAGTCTCCTAACATTTAATGTGAGCTCCCCACAATTAATAGGAGAGAGAAGACAGAGACCTTAACAATGCTCCAGAAGGACTTAGTTTGTGAAACAGGAGCGTAACGATGACACTGGCAGCTGAAGGGACAGAGCACAGCAGCCTTATTCCCAGTCTCAGTGCGAAACTTCTTGCCCTCAACTTTGCCACGATATAGGAAATCTTGCACACTGTAACTTTTGTGTTTTTTGCTGAAATCTTCAAAACTGAAAATGATTTCAAGGTGTCCTATACCTTTCTGTAATATTTTCCAAGAAGATTCACCATGCTCCAAAATATATCTGCAGCATTACTAACTGGACTTACAAAAATATCTGGAGATGAAGTAGGGATTACTTACATAAGTGACCACTTAATGTAGCTACACTTTCCATCTGGAATGATCCTCAGCAGATGAATGCTCATCTCTGGAAGAAGCCTAAACAAAGGGGAATTCAAGCCTAAACAAAAGCGAGTGGTTCTCAACCAGGGGTACATCTCAGGTCACCAAGTATAGTTTTGCATGTGAGGCTGGACACTTGCATTTGAAAAAAGTCTGGAGTGATTCTTAATATGCACCCCTGATGAGATCCACTGTCTAGTACTGATGGGACCTAAGCCTGTCTGTGTCTCTCTGAATAAGAGAATAGGAAATACATTTATAAAGATCTGCAGATCTTTGTGCTACAAAGAGGATCTTTTTGCTCAAACATAAGTTTCCTGAACCCTGTCAAAGATGCTTTTTGGAAAAACAAGCAAATGAATGTTAGGGCTCACATGTAATGAGGACTAGTATCTCTGTGTCTGTTGGGGCCCCCATGACATAACCACTGGTTGAGGGAGAGAGAAGTAACACGTTGAAGGAATGAGAAGGAAGTAGCACTGGGCCTTTTGTGTTCTTGCTTAAATCTTCCAAACTAAAAATGATCCCAAGGTTTCCTATACCTTATCCCCACCTTTCATGCTCTTGGAGGTGAACACTGGTATCTAGAGTATTTAGTAGCTGGAGAGGTGGACCCTTGGCCATCTGAATGCCCCTCCAGCTTTCCTAAATATCCCCTGTATCTGCATCTCACTTGTCAGTAATACTATCATCCAGGCATAAATGGAAAAAGTCGTCAGAAGCCCTTAAATCCATACCACAATTTGTCTTCTTGACACCAAGAGAAAATTAGTACCATTAATTCTCTACATTTATTGATTTAGGAACTCAATCAAAAGGCTGGTTGCTCTTCCCCTCCATCCCCCAACCCTCTCTGTGCTCCTCCCCGCGCCACCATAGTTCTCAGGTTCCAATGTGTCTAAGCCACTGGGCTGCAATAACTATGTCCTAAAGAGAAAAGTACTAGATCTCCCTCACAAGCAGCCACAAAGTCAAGGCTTCACTGAGTTAGGGACCACCATGGCTTCCCCTCTAGCTCTTCTCCCATCACTGCCTTGAGTTCAGCCTTCCTGGGTGGTGAGAGAAACCATGTGCTCAGCATGGCTGAGGGGAAGCTGAGTCATGCCCTTGGCAGAGCCAGGGAACTCCCGCTGGGAGACCAGTAATAGCCTTGGGTGAACCTGGAAGGGGTCTGGTCTGACAAACAAGGCCTCCTTCAGGGACTGCTTGGCCTCTGCCCCACAGGTGATGGGCGCCCCGTCCCCTCCCTCAGAGCACAGATCGCCTGGGGAGCCTCCACTCTGCTGACACCTGGAGGGAAGCTCTGCTACCAATATTTTCCCAATAGGAAGCAGCAACCTCAGCACAGAAATAAAGCTGCCTGCTGACTTGCTCACAGCCTATCCCAATAGTTGCTCTGGGTGTCATCCTGACGCAGCAGTCCCTGAGGACCAGGCCACAGAGGCTCAACCCTTTCCGTCAGCCCTGTCCAGCAGGACCTGAGCCGCGTGCCACTGAATAACTTCTCTGTCTACTCTTTAGATGATGTCTTGTTTTGAATACTTAACCTTTCCTGTTCTTTCAAAGTAAGTGCTTTTATGAAAGGTCTGGACTGTCCTTTAAACATATATATATATATATATATGCAATGGAACACAACAGAACGTTGTGGAGTGCTGCAGAATGGAGTGGAATGTTGTGGAATGGAGTGGAATGGGGAGGAATGTGACGCAATTGACAGTTCAGGGTGTTTTGGAAGCGAATGAAGTCTTCTTTGATGGAATGTAACGCAATAGAACGCGGTGGATGTTGTGGAATGGAGTTTAATTTTGTGGAACACAGTAGAATGGGTGGAAATTTGACGCAATAAAGGGTGTCTGAGTGGTTAGGAAACGAACGGAGCCTTCTTTGATGGAATGGAAAGCAATAGAACATGGTGGAATTTTGTGGAAAGGAG